ACCTTGCTTAATTATGAACTAATTAAGTGTCAAAATGAAAGCGTTTCATCTTCATTAGCGTCCGACAAGCGGCCGACGAGGGAACATAATTGAGAGGCGCCGTGAGCTAATCGAAGGTACACGTGTCGCTTGCTATTCAAATTTGAAAACGCCGTTTAGCCCAAAGAAAGCGCCTGATTAGATTTAATAGTCGACCCGAGCGAGCGAGCCAGTGCGCCGTCGATGCCGGCTGTCGAAAGCGTTCCGACGACGGCCGCCCGGACGCGACTAGCGCCGCTCCAAAATCAATTAGAATGGGACAAAATCATTTTTCACAACCGCGACGTTTATACATACCTGCGAACACCACAACAAACGCTGGTTACGCTGATCATTTGTTAGTTACTTGCGCAACATCTAAAACAGCAAAACATTTTTTTTCCACATAAATCGTTCAATTATCCAGCGCATGTTGCCAATTGAGGACGACAATACCCATAATGCCCCTCTCCTCCTCATGTCAATCTTTGTCAGGTAAATCGATTAGGTCAGTAAGTACTGTACAGTAGTCGGTACATAAATTCACTGGATAGATTATGTAAACTCTCTAGATTAGGTAGATTGATTGATTGGTTGGTAGATTACATAATCTCAAAAGATTGGGTAGTATCTTCAATAAATGCACAGTACACCTGGATAATTTCCTGTCTACATTGTCACTGCCAATAGGAGAAAAGAGAGGCGTCGCAGAGAGATGTGTTGGTTCGCTTGGGTTAACAGGGGGTCAAAATTGACCAAATTGATTGGACCGTGAAAAATATAAATTGTATGTGCCCGATGACCTTTTGAAAGGCTGAAATACGGCGGCGGGCTACCTGGTGCAAACATTACGATAAATCCCGTTCGCCCGCCGTTGCCGCTCTCCATAAATCAGTGCTTTGGTGGTGGGAGAACGCGGCCAAAAATGACGGCTATTAAAATAATGAACGGGATGATGAATTTCTCGCATTCAAGTTGTTTTTGGAATGTGGGAGGAAACCGGAGTACCCGGAGAAAACCCACGCGGGCACAGGGAGAACATGCGAACTCCACACAGGAAGGCCGGAGCTGGGATCGAATCCGGTACCTCTGCACTGTGAGGCCGACGTGCTAACCACTGGGCCACCCACAAGGTTTTCTAATTGTCACAAATCAAGCCCTTGCTGTGATGTGTGCACACTCGCTGCAGACAACAAGGCGCTCTAAAGCAACCAACTCCCATCTCTTACAATAAACGTTTTATTATTATTATTATTATTACTACTACTATTATGACTATTGTTATTATTATTGTTCTTCTTAATATTTTCCCGTGATTTTTGGTCTTCTCTCCGTGATGTGCGGGCACTCATGGCCAACAACAAGCGGCTCTAGAGCGACCACGCCAGCCCAAAGTCCCGGGCCAAAGACTGGCATCATTTTAGCCATGCCCATAAAACCTGGAAACCCGAAATGGTGGAAAATAGTCTTCCGCCACATACGATATCACCACAATTCAGTCCTTGAACGTTTTTCAGCAGGTATCTTCAAACATGTTGAATGTGTTTCGAAACAAATCTTTGAATTCACTTTATGGTCTTTGAATCCAAGAAAAGTGTTGTAACAAGGACATCATTTGAAAAGTTTGGAAGGGATGTTGATGAAATTGCTTCTGACAAATGAATGCGTCCGTCCTTGGATTGCCCCCAAAAGCTACACGTAAATGTTTCTTTGGAATCTTTTCCATTTCTGTAAGATTTTGAGGTATGGCTTGTAAAAAATAAATAAATAAAAAAATCAGATCATTGTTGAAAGAGGGCCATCACTGAAAAAGTTTTGGAGGAACGTCGGTGAAATTTCTTGTTAGCTGATCTTGATCAAAAGTTAATCCGTTCATCCTCGGGCCGTTCATTTTTTCTTCCAAGGACGTTTTTGAACAAAGGACGTTCATGGCATTTGCTGTTTGCTGATTTTGATCCAAAGTTAAGCCATTCGTCCTTGGGAAGCGGTGCACCAAAAACCATGGGTATCTCTTCACTTGCTGTAACTTTTTAGCTGGTAAAATGACTGATTACAAAACTGAATTAACGAGTTTTGATGGGATTTCAAGGAAATTTAGTTTATCGCTTGGATATGACCTCAGGAAATTCTGGATCCCGATTATTATAAATGCAAAACTTGTCAATGGATTTTGATTAAATTTTGCATATGTCAAGTTTTTATCAGGAAGTGGAATCTTCATTCTTGCCAGAAAAAAAATAAGCAATTCCGAGCGTTTTTTCCGTTCTGTCATTGCAAGCAGTTGAACATGGGTTGGTTTCACCAAAAACGGTGATTTCTAATCAAAAAGCAGAGAAAACAAGATGACTGGGGAGAAAAAAATAATAATTAATAGCAAAACAGTCACTTTGTCGCTAATATGTTCAGCTTTTGTGACTCCACAAACTACAAACCAGCCAAAATAAGGCTGAGAAAAAGTTTTTAATAATATAATCATTTTATTTACAGACATGCAACTAGGAAATACTCTGAGGAACACTGACTCACCACATGGCTCAAGTTGAACATGAACAGCATTTTTTTTCCAAGTCTTTGCCATTCGCTCCCTGATCATCTTTTCTCATGAACGCAACCATGACACATACTGTGTTTCAGTGTGAGGTTCCTAAACTTGTTTAACTTCCAACATGCTGCCATTTCTCTCCTTCACAACGGACATTATGGGACGAGATTACCACCTAATCTTTAACTTCCACGCAAAAGCTGTGCTGATCTCAAATCCAAAATTATGTAACGTTGCCATCTACTGGGCGTCTGTCTGTCATTGCAGTTATGTCGAAGTTTAACACACAGACAGGCTCCTCCATGCCTACCTGTTGAAAAACGTCCTTGGTACTCTTGGATGGCAGTGAACGCTTGGATTCCGGTTGACAGATGCCAAAGGCCATGGCGGTGAATGAGTGAATTAAATTACGTTACGCCGGTGGCCGCCATTTGACGACAGCTTTGTCAGGTTTGGTTGCATGGTGAGACGTATTGCTATGGTAGATGAGTGGAGTCGCATTCGGTGAAAGCCTCGCCCTCTAGTGGCTGGCGCCTCCATTCCCCTGTTTTCACCGTCTGCTAACTATAAAATGGGACCAAATGAAGAGAAGCGAAACCACGTGCCCCTCAACCCTCCTGGCTCGGAATCAATCCTGACATTTTCATTGCCGGCTCACGGAAGCCAATGGGGCCTTCCGGAGGTTGTTAGCGGCCGCGCTGCCACCGTTCCACCCGCTTTCATCGGATGCTAACTTTCCTTCGCTCGTTCCCAGGTGGCTTTGTTGGTATTTAAGCGCGGCGATCAGGCTTTTTAGTGCGCGGCCGCAGCATCTGCTCACGTCCCGCCTTTTGCTGCCACTTCGGTGTTGACGCAGCCTTTTAAGCGGGCCGGTCAATATGCTAGCGCTAATATATTATTTAGCGCCTTTGGGTCGACAGCATACGTGCACGTGGTTGCTAATCGTGTCGAGGCAGATGTCGGGCCCCTCCTCTTTACACCGGTTAGCTGCTCCTCCTGCAAAATTCATCTCGGCCCTCTTTTATTTATCCCCCTCGCTCGACAATTAGTCAATCCTCAATCAAGCATAGGGAAAGGAATTGCTTTTAATTACTTTTGATAAATGACAAATTAGTTTGGTGCACGCAGGGTGGTTTTTGTGCGTGTGTGTGTGTGTGTGTGTGTGTGTGTGTGTGTCTAGCGGAGAGTTTCGCCAAGATGAAATCAATGTTCGCTCGCTCTCTTAGCCGTGGTTCAGCAGACAGACTTCTGGGCCGAAGCCAGGCTGCGGACCGCCGACATCCCCGAGTCAGCAGAAAAAAAACAAACCACCACCACCAGCGTGCATGTGAGTGCACGTGAACGCTGACACGTTCAGCAACAAACTATCTCTGGCACACTAAATCCGCTAAAATATAAAAAAATGTATTAACAATTCCATTGTATCAATCATCGGAGTAAAAATAAGATGAAGTTTGATATGAGGATCATGGAAGAAAACAAAGCGCCTGCAGTCTAAAATGAATAAAATTCTCGTGGGTGTGACGAGGTTTTCATTGGTGATAAATCAACATTTTTGTTTGCCATTTTTCAAAAAATTGTGACTGCATCTTGACTGGCGATAAATCAATTTTTTTTTTTGAGAGGGTTCTGGTCATTGATTTTGGTTGGTAATTTCTGTAATATACAAACGTGATGAGATTTTGATCTAAAGCTGTGAGTGCATTTTCATTTGTGATAAATGAAATTTTGTGGGTTGATTTTGGTCAGTGAATATTAAAGAAAATGTGGCTTCATTTTTTGGGGGGGCAGTTGCGAATCTAAAATGTGTTAGTGGATTCATCAACATTTTTGATGGGTGATTAATCAAAGTATCAGTGAATTTAGTTATTAACCAAATTTTGGTGGATTTTGGGTAGTAAGAAAAACTTCTCATCTACATCTAGTCAGGTGTGTACCTTTCCAAATCAAGGACTCAAGGATGAAATTCATTTTGAGCTTCATGGAAACTGTGCATCAACTTAGGCACGCAAAAAAATAAAAATAAAAATAAAAATTTAAAAATTCAAAACGAATCCCAGAAGAGGGAAACAAAAATGACAATTTGTGAGCATGAATCAAAAATCAAGACTTGCCACGGGGGAAAGGCCCTCTTGCCCAGCCCAATAAAGTTATTCTTTTGGTCTGATGATCTTCACGATATTTTCAAACGCTAATTCGTGTAGTCGTTCACCAGCTAGCATCCCATTCATGCATGCTGTTGCACTTTCTTTCAAATGGCTGCCTTTATTTCCAATATTCCCTTTCGTGTCAGTCATTTATCCATTTTTGTAACAGCACAGTTGATGTGCGAACTAACGTTGGATCACGAGCCACATGCTGCTTCACCATTTCGATGCTAGTAAACTGAACTGCTCTTGTGAAGGGAACCAAACTGACGTTGTCTTCTTGCTGTTTTCAGGCTTCTTCATCCCATCGTGAAGTCGAAGCACCAGCAGAGAGTCCAGCGACGCAACCTCAGCCCGACCATTTTTACTTGTACATGGAGACCCCCAGCTGGGCAGGTAGGACCCCTAAACCTAATCCCCCCCACCCCCCAACCCTCCCACCTTCACCATCGTGAAACAAGCTGGTGATTATTTGCACGCTGATCAACATCCTGTGCTGTACAATTGCAATCAAAGAGTGTGAAATCACATTTTGTGGCCTCACGCTCGGCCTGTTTTACTCATGTGAAAATGTGATCATGTGATAAATCGGAAATTGCCAAGGGACTTTGGTCCCAAATTTATCCTCAATTCTGAGCGGGTTTTGGTTGACGATACATTTCAAATTGTTTGTTGATTTGGGTTTGTGACATAAACATTTTTGAGAGGATTTATTGACATTTGTTATCACATCTTGAATTGTGAGTGGCTTCTGTTTGATGATGGCTCAAAATTTATGATTGTATTTTAGTCTGTGATGAATTTAAAATCGTCAGTGGTCTTTGAGAAATCTCAAATTGCTGACAGGATTTTAGTGTGGCAATCTAAAATGGAGCTTGGATTTAGTTTCAGGATGAATCTAAAATTGTGAGTTTTGGGGGTTTTTGGGGTTTTTTTTTTGGTGGTGACAAATCAAAAATTGTGATTTGATTTTAAATTGAATGAGAAATCTGAAATTGTGAGTGGACTTTGGTCAAATGACAAGTTTCAAATTTGTGACTGCATTTGGGTCTTTGACAATCTAAAATTGTGGTTGGATTTCGGTGAGTAATGAATTCAACATTTTTTGTGGTCCTTGACCAATCTTAGTGTTGACTATATTTTGACCAGCGATTAAAATTGCAGTTGATGATTAGTTCATTTGCGGTGAAAAATAGTTGGTGCAAACGTTCAACGAAGGACAAATAGTTTGCGTTCTCATGTCGCTGCGGTATTTTGCTGCAACAGCACCCGTTCGCAAAACGGCATCCCACTCTCGTGCCCGCGCTCTCATAACGGCTGCGCCCACCCCGCCACGTGTGGCCATATTGTCGCTAATGTGCGCCTTGTGCCCACGGGCGCCACTTTGCCGCCACGGATCCCCCGCCGCCGCCGCCCGGCGGTGCCGTTGAGCAGGTGGCGACGAGGTCCAATGGGCCCGCCGCCATTTGCTCGCCTTCTCCGAGGGAGCGGGTCACAACGGCCGTTTGAAAGCAGTCTAATTATCTCTGATTGCCGCCACTGCCACCCTGCCTCCGTAATGACAAACCTCCAGTGTGTGTTGCTTGGGCGTGCGCGCACACACACACACACACACACACACACACACACATACACACACACACACAGACACACACAGACACACACACACACACATGCACACCACTCAGATGTTTTGGAGGAAGACTTTCACAGAATTATTGATGAAGCTCAACAGTTGACAAGTCAAAACTTGTTTGTTTGTGTTTGTGATTGGATTTGTGTTGCCAGTTAGAGTATGAGGGTCATTCCATAAATAAGCTGAATTTTTCAGTATAAGGACTTCTAATACAGATAGAAGCTTACTTTTTTTTTTTTCCTCCAACGTAGTCTCCCGGCACTGTCACACACTTTTCCCATCTGTGCACGAGCTTCCATATTCCCTCAGCGTAAAAATCTTTGGACTGATGTCTCAGCCAGTCGCTCACAACACTTTTGACTTCATCATATTTTGCCTGATGAAAAATCTAAAATTGTGCTTGGAATTTGATTTACAAAATTGTGTATGTTTGTGTGTGTGTGTGTGTGTGTGTGTGTGTGTGTGTGTGTGTGTGTGTGTGTGTGTGTGTGC